AAAAGACAGTAGCTGTCATACAAGTAGAATATTCGAAATTCGTTGCCAGTGGGTTTCAAACCCTCTACCTGGCCGACATATCGCTTGGGGATGCGACAACTTAACCACTTCACTAAGTCACCACACCCTGTATATTTCCTAATGTTAAATAGATAGGATGTTTATTTGCTTTACCAAATTGGTTGCATATTGTTGTATCAGAATAAATAATTATTGATAAAATATTTGCTTTATCTGGAATTATTTTTTTTGCCCTTTCTCACTACTCTCTATTATATTGTTTATGATAAATCCTTTCTCCTTTATGATATAGTGGTATAAATTTAAAGATACAATATTTAAATATATCTTTATTGTTTAACAGTTCCTTTATAGCATTAAAAATAAAATGATAGTTTAGATAATATGTTTCTTTCTTATAAGTCATAATAGGTACTTTTTTAAACAAAGATGTGGTACTGTCATTTGATCTAAAAATTGATGTCCTTGTTTTACTGAGATAGGTAAAACTAGATTGTCATTAGATATTTTCTTTGCAAACTTAAGGATTTCACTATCACATATATCTGATAAGTTCTATTTTATAAATAACTTCATAAAATCACCAAATTCCTCGCTAGGAAAACTCATTTCTTTATTTATCAAGTTGGTAATATTAAGAGACTCAAAAATTAAAGGTGGCTCTATGTCAAATAATACAAATCCTTTCTATATATATATAAATTAATATTAATCGCAAATAAAGTTTATATATATATATAAATTTGATGTTAATCACAAATAAAGTTTATTTGTTATGCATGTAAAGTTACATGAACAATTAATTGTTTAACTTTACTGTTCTTATATATTTACCAAGATTTGACCGCTTGATTCTTCTATCTCACTTTCTAATTGATTTTTGAGCTAGCTTTCTTGTTGGTCTTCTATCCAGTAATTATAGTTATTTTCATCACCAAGTTGATTATTTATTCTTGTTTTATTGTTGTCTTCAATATCTTTATCATCTCCAACACCTTTGTCGTCTCCAACACCTTTATCATCTCCAACACCTTCATTGTATCCAATATCTTCGTCATCTCCAATATCTTCATTGTCTCCAATACCTTCATCATCTTCAATACCTTTGTTATCTTCAACACCTTTGTCGTCTTAATACCTTTGTCATCTCCAATACCTTCGCTATCTATTCTTATTTTGTCATCTCCAAGTTGTTTACTTTCTATTTTCATTGCTAACTAGTCTCCATTTTGCTAGTATTCTTGTTCTATTTGAATTCTCTGCTCTCTTTTTTTTTCTTCAGCTATTTCCTGTAGGAGTTTTTCAATAATATCATTATGAACTTTTATATGGTTTCGAAGTGAAGCTCTATGAGAAAATGTCCTTTCACACTTTGTATATTGAAGCTTCATTGTTTTAAAAAAAGGTATCTGTATGTAATATTTGTGATGACTTAGAGTTAAATATGATTTTAATCATATTTTGATTTAATATATATTAGTATGTATCAATTATTATAAAACTGACATAATCACAGCACTATTTTTGTTAGGTAAAAAAAATACTGGTTTAATAGTATAAAATATTTTAAAAAAGTTATATCCCAACATTTAATATACAGGTACAAGTTCTATCGTTTAACAAATCAACTCATCCGAAAATGATTGCAAATTATAATGACTCTTACAAAAGTCGATTAAACTGAAGTTGATGAAAATGTGAACTACTATATTGAGGAAAAAGTAGTCAAAAGGTATGAATTTTTATTGATTAGGTATAGTTGATATAAATTTACAAATATCAATATAGTTGATCTTTTTCCAGAAAATAAATTTAAATTATTCTATTCAATACAACATGATGAATTTTAATACTATAAATTATAATTCTATTTATTTTTTTTTTTGGTA